TAGGAACTTTCTTTCTGGGAGGGATGACAATCGGCTGTCCTAGAGATGCTGCCATCTGAAGTCCGAGGCGCCACAAAAAATTTTAATAAATTTTGGACTAAGAAATGGCAGAACTATATGTCCACCTTTGATGTGGTAGACCTCACTGCCACATTGGTGAGTCAAAGTGCGAGGGCCTTTAGAGTGGCCCTGGAATGTTAAGAAGTATTGTCTGACATTCAAAGGAGGAACCGGGCCTCGTATGAGAAATTGGAGGCTGTTGAGGCCGAAATAAAGAGGAGGAAGGCAGAGGTTGATGAACTGAGGGCCCAAAAAAAGAAGATGAGGCCAAGTTAGCTTATGCCTTGGGCATATTCGAGGCATGGGATCTGGATTAATTCAAATTTTTCAAAAAAAAGAGAGCAGACCCATCACCAACTTGAGGTAAGCTGCCATGGCCTTATCCCTGGCTACGAAATTGCCACTTATTTGTCCTACAATAAGTTGGGAATTGCTATTAACGTGAAGCCTCTTTTCTTGCATTTCCTTGGCCAGTCTTAGGCCGGCGAGGAGGGCCTCATATTCAGCCGCATTATTTGTGGCCTTAAATCTGAACCGCACGGCGTTGTTCAACTTCTGACCTTCGGAGCTCACCAGTATCACACCTACGCATGAGCTTGTTTCTCCGGCCAAGCCGTCCACAAATAAGTTCCAAGTAGGAGGCTCAGCGGCCTCCATAGTTTCATCCACTTCAGGGACATTGGTGAACTCGCCATAAAATCTGCTGGGCCTGACCTTTGATGGCGGTTCTTGCCTTGAAGAGGATCTCAAATTTGCTCAATTCCACTGCCCATTTCAGTAATCTGCCCGAGGCATTAGGTTTTTGCAATACCTGCCTGTATAAGCCATATCCAGCACGTTAAGGTAGATCTACGGTCTAGACCGCTCCAAAACTTGGACGTGGGAGAAACTCAACGACACGAGACGTTTCCGTTCGGGCTCCAACAAGATTTACAGAACAAGATTGTATAATGATCGTAGTTGTAATAAACTGATAAGAGAATAAGATAGGTTACTTTGAGTATTTAAAGTTTCATTAGTCTTCAATTGTTACATGGTAGGGGTATTTATAATGGTACAAATGGAATGGTGACCCTTAGATCAAATTACATGTGGCATCATCTCCTCGGCCAAAACATCAGATCCTAACCATCATGTTGACTTTCCTAGCTTTACAAAGCATTTAATGTCTTACATTGACAAGAAAAGATACAAATACACTTTTCACAAAGGTCACATCAATCATTCGAATAAAGATCTTCATCATGAGCAAATCATTACACGTAGGACGTCGCGAGCTGAGGGGCCTCAGATCCAGGAGGTACCTCAGAAGTAATTGGGCATCTGCTGATAATAGAGCCTCGGTTAAGGGGTCTAGGTCTATATAGAAGCAGAGGCTCGGATAAGGCGGATGGGTCGGATCAGATCCCACAGCTTAATTTTGACACTTGGCAGTCCCTAGGGACGAGTCATAACAACGAGTATATACTATTCTTACCTATAGTTGGGTCAAGTTTTGTGTGATGGTTCAAGATTAGTTTTCAAATATTCATCGACATAAGAGTGATCATTAATTGTTACTTTGTCGTCAAAAGAGGTTCATACAACATCAGTACCATTCCATGTCCCGAGAGTTTGCACGCCTTGACGTTTTGAATCTTGTGGTTTCCAGGCTCAAATTCGACTATAATTACCACATAAAGCTCCTCGATTTCACTAGTCTGTCAAACTTTTGTGCTATGTACCTAAGCAAGCCCTACTTTTGACCTCACCATGCACTCAACAATACCCTTTTTTCCTTGCATTTCATGATCTCAATAAACCTTTTAAAAAGATTGCATCGTCTATAAGCCAATAATCTGTTAAATTCCACATCAGTTCTTGAAATCTTATCTCAACTAAAATCACATAACTCAATTCTTTGTCAGCAAGCTTGTAATGACTAGTCTTTTGCTGTTCAAGTCAACCACTTTTAACCGGGCTGATGAACGTGATAACCACTTCCGACTTCATCCTATTATTGTGTCATGTCGATCCATTTTACAACAGTGCTACTCGTACAGACTCATTCACAGGAATTTTTTTTTTACTGACAACACCTGATCGGTAAACAAAGTAAATTTCCTTTCCATGTAAGTAATCATTCCAACTTTTACATGATTCCATTTTGAATAGTCAAAATTTGTTAAGAACAACTCAAATCATTATTTGTTGATTAATGTTTCCATACTTAAGAGGGGAGCTCGATCTAACGTCCAACTGATAAAAAACAAGTAAAAGAGTGATTCTACCCTTCATTTGATCTAATGATACTTATCATCATCATCATATGGCGAGTTTAGATTAATCTTTGTGACAAATTTTCTCTTTCACATTCTATTGGTGAAAGTGTAGGATTACGACAAGACTCGAAATTTGAAAAATCCATTGCATTATCATCTTCTTCATTAACTTAGCCAATGGCATCTTCGGTTCACTTCCCCTCACGTAGTAGAATGGTACAAGCCCGAGTTACCCATTGACTTTGGAGATTAAACAGGAGAATATTCATTATATTTTTGAACAAGCAAGTTTGACGGAGCCACCTTATTTGTTGAAGCCTTTTTGAAGCCAGAAATGGTATGAATACGTGTAAGAGAATAGATGATTCTCCTTTACACGACGTCACACGTGTTAGCAGTCCTCTTCTCTTCCTTTTTCTTTCTCATTCTCTGAACACAAAGAGAGGTTAAATCTCACCAAAATGAAACTGGCAGTTTTTCTTTTATGGAGAGAGAGAGGAAAAAAAATTGAAAAGGAATGTCAGAAGTGGGATTTGAACCCACGCCCTCTCACGAGGACCAGAACTTGAGTCTGGCGCCTTAGACCACTCGGCCATCCTGACTTCTTGGTTGATCAACTAAGATATCTCTATATAATTTATTTCTTTCATTCACAAGTACTTTCCATTACTTTTTATTTTTATTTAATTTATAATTCAAAAAATTTATAAACACGCCTAGGTGACCTTTTTTTTCTTAAAATTATTAATTATTTTTAAATTTCATCAATAAAAGAGCTATTTATTTTACAATAACTATACTATTAAGTAAACTTATTCCAAAAGTGAAATCCTTTATGCCTATCCAAATATTCACTAAAAAGGATAGAAAATGAAAAACATCATCTTCCTTCACAAAATCGATTTCGAGCTTTTCCACATTGCTATTTGCAAGTTGCAATATGAGAACTCGTCATCATCAGAATTATTACTATTTATAATCTTAATGAAAGAGGAATCTAACAATTCCACAAAAGTGATAATTATTTTAATTTATCGTTGGCACTTATGCCTATCCAAATATTCACTAAAAAGGATAGAAAATGAAAAACATCATCTTCCTTCACAAAATCGATTTCGAGCTTTTCCACATTGCTATTTGCAAGTTGCAATATGAGAACTCGTCATCATCAGAATTATTACTATTTATAATCTTAATGAAAGAGGAATCTAACAATTCCACAAAAGTGATAATTATTTTAATTTATCGTTGGCACAAA